CCCGCCGCACCCTGGGCCCCATGGAGCTGCTGGCCGCAGCCTTCAGCGCCGCCTGCGCTGTGGACCACGACAGCTCCACCTCGGAGAGCGACGCGCGCGACTCGGCGGCGGGACACCTGCCCGGCAGGTGAGCATCCTCCCGCCCCCGCCCGCCCGCGCGCCCAGCCCGACTCTGCACGACCCCGCACCCCGCTCGCCCGGGGCCTCGCTGGACCCGCGTCCCCGGAGGGCGCCTGTCGCCCTCCCTCGTCCCCGTCCCGGTTCCCGCCGCCGGATCGCCTCTGCGCCCTCGCCCTGGACGCCCTGGCGCGCGGCCCCTCGGCACCCCTTCCCCATGGGTCCTGACCCTAGGGCCGGGGAATCGGGGTCCGAGGTCCACAGGCGCCCGAGCCGCGACATGCGGGGGACGCGCTGTAGCCTCTTGGCCGCGGGTCTGTTGGGGCCTCCTCGAGGCGCCAGGCGCGGGCACAGCGCGCCAAGTTTCCGCCGCCTGCCCACGAGCTCGAAAAACATGAAGGTTTGGGCGGGCTGGTGTGGGATGAATCACCCCGTCGCGCCCTGGTGTGGTGACAGAATGGACCTGGGGGCCGCCTGGTCGGGAGGGGCGGCGGCCACTGCGCCCTTGCCCCTGGGTGTCCAAGCTCGGAGCCCCAGACGGCAGCCAGCCAGGCGACGCCTCACTCGAGCCGCCCGCCGAGGTATGTGTCGTTGCTTAAAAATAACCAGCCCTGCCGTCCTCCCTCCCTGGCAGCGAGTCGTCCTCCACCCCGGGAAATGGAACCACGCCCGAGGAGTGCCCGGCCCTGGCCGACAGCCCTACCACCCTCACGGAGGCCCTGCAGATGATCCACCCCATCCCTGCCGACTCCTGGAGAAACCTCATCGAACAAATAGGTGGGTGGCCTGGCGGGCGTGGCTTCCTTTGGTTCGTTCCGGGGGCTCTAAAGGGCTCCAGGGCGAAACTGCCAGGTGTCATTAGGGCTGCACCACCCGGCCACCTTAGCCAGTGGGTGTCCGGCCTGCGCTGTGGGGACCCCCGCTCGCCCTCTGTCCCTGTCTCTCCTGCCAGGAAGATGGGGTGCAGCAGCACTGCTGGGCCAGGCAGGGCCCCTCGTTGAGCTCCCACCAGGGAGGGGCTGGGAAGCCGCCCACAGCAAGGGGCCCCTGGGCAGAGCCCTTCGATGCTGTGTGAAGGGGAGAGGCAGAGGGGAGGACTCTGAGTTAGGGGAGAGACCTCTGCAGGGACCCCAGGGAGCCTCGTGTTCGAATCCAGTTTGTACCGAGCAGCAGGGGAGAGCTGTGAATACCCAGAGGGAGTCCACACATGTCCTGAGAACTCCAGCACTTGCATTTTTAAAAAAATTGCTGGTGACTTCGGATGAGTTCTCCTGTCCTCAACAGTGAGGGCGGCACAGTTTCTCGCTAGTCTGGGAACGGAGCTGGCTGCTTAGGGCGCATTCTTCGATGTCCATAGAGCAGCTGGCTCTATGCTCACTTAAATAACAATTCTCCATTCGGAAGATTTCTTCCTTAAGTATACGGTTGTGCTCCAGTCCCAAACCTCAGACGGACACAGGGTGACTCCAGGATGGAAGTGGGAGACCGGGGGTTTTTCAGGGCATCCCTTGTCCCTGGGGCCCCACAGCCCAGAGGGAGGAGCAGGAGCTGGGGAAGCCGAGGGTGGAGCTGCTGCAGTGGGTTCAGCCTTTCAGCCTTGAGGCTCCTACCTTGAATTGTGTCCCCGGAGGCCCCCAGTGTGTGTCAGGCTGGGGGACGTGGTGGCTTTTCAGTTTGTTTGTGCATGAGGAGAGAAGGTCTGATCCAAAACTGATGTTAGTTAGGAAATCCTGGTTTTGAAAGAAAGACTCCCTAAGCTCTCGCCACTCAGTCTGGGATGGAGACTTTGAAGTCCACTTCCCAGCAGGTCTGATCTAAGGGCTGCAGGGCCAGCTGTTTCTGCCACCTCCCCCAGGCTTCCAACCCAGGGGGCTGCTGCACACTTGCAGAGCTGGGAGCAGGGGCTGTCCTGGGCCTCAGTTCCCTCCTCCAGCAGGAGACTGCCATTGGGCATCGATCCCCCGAGGTCCTCTACACTATCTTCTGCTCCTGGGGTGCACAGAGGTGGGGGACAGCTCAGCTGCACTGGAGGCTTCATGGAGTGCTCAGGGATCCTACAGCAGCCTCCAGGCTTCAGCTGTGAGTGACGCACTTCTCTGTCAGGTGGCAGGAAGGGACAGCAGGCTCTCAAGGACACAGGGGAATGAAGGAAGGGGAAGTAGAATGAGTTGGGGCCATTTTGTAGCCCCCTGGGTTGGATTGTGCAGTGGCTGCTGGCAAAGCCAGATAGAAACATGCTGAGACCCTGTGGGACATGGTGCACAGCTGTCGTCATGTTGGCTGCAGCCCAGGTGGGTCACAGACCTGAGTGGTTTTCTGGGCATGCCTGTGAGTGTGCAAAATATATGTACAGTGAATGTTTGAATTTAAAATTTTCTTAGAGTAAAAGTTACATTGCCATGAATCTCCTCAAAATCCTCCCCCTCACTTTGCAAACCCTCATCCTATTGTCCTTGCTGCTTTCTTTGTTTTGTTTTGAGACAGGGTCTTGCTATGTATTTCAGGATTGTCTTGAACTCAGTATGTAGCCCAGGCTGGCCTTGACCTTGTAGGGATCCTCCTGCCTCAGCCTTCCAAGTGTTGGGATTGCATTCTTGCCACTTTCTGAAGCCTTCCTGGAAGTGCTCTTTCCTAGACAGGAGGTGTGATAAAAAATGCAGTGACTGCTGCTGTCAAGTGTCATTGAACAGAAAGGCAGCTCCTCAAAACATCAGAGTCTCCACTTTACTCACTGGATCTGGCACTGTGTGAATTATGGCTCTTTCCCAAAGTCAAAATGACCACAACAGGGCAAGGTTTTAAGCTGATTCCAGGACACCAAGGCAACTATGACAGCGCAACGAATGACACTTACGAGAGGCCTCCAGAGCTGCTTCAGGAAGTGGCAAGAACAAGGGGATGAGTGTGTTCAACGCGAAGGGGAGAATTTTGAGGAGGATTGATGACATTGTGTCTTCTACTATAATAACTTAAAAAGAAAAACGTATGCATTCACTGTATTTTTCTATCACACCGCACGCCCGCACGCGCATGCGTGTGTGTGTGTGTGTGAGAGAGAGAGAGAGAGAGAGATATGTGTGTGTTGCTATTGTCTCCAGCACCTAACACAATGCTTGGCACATAGATGTCACTCACTAAATACGGTAATAAAGGTTCCTACCTTTTACAAGTTTCTATTTGATGGATACATGAAATTCTAACAAGGATGCAAAGAGGAAGCCATTATCTTCACCACGGGGATTTGGAAGGTGAGGAGCGGAACCCCGGTCCCATGGGAGGGCAGCTAGCCCCAAACAGGCCATTTTCCCCCAGGCAAGGTGGCAGCCTGGTCCTCAGCTCTGCGCGCTTGAGACACCAAGGGCCAGCTGTACGGGAAAGTCATCTTCCACATAAAGTACAAAATATAAGCCAGGAAAAGACGATGTACAAGTTGTACATCCGGGAGAGATTTCCTCAGATGCTGTGCAGCTCCTCTGCTCAATCTACCCTCTTCTGTGGTGATCAGAATTTAAGGCAAATACAAAATGGTCACACTGTATGTCATATAACTCTTTGTAATCCCAGTAACTCCAGGAAGCTTGGAGTTTAAAGTATATTCTAAATATATATCTTGGGAGAAAAGTCGATTTTTAAAAATTCTAAAATTATTTGAATTGAGAGGCTTTGGCTACAAATAACAAAATATTCAGCAAAAAGTGATTGTAAGCAATAGCAGTGGTCTGTCTCAGTTAATGAGCCAAGAGGAAGGAAGCTCCAAAGTGGGTCGTTTGCCTAAACAATCGCCAGCAGCCTTTTCTTGTTTCCCAGCTTCATTTGGGCCTTGTGAGACAAGATGGCTGCTATTGCCCCAGGCATCACACACTCAAGCAGCCATCCATCAAAGCAGGAAAGGTGGTTTGCCTTCCATTGTCTGTTGGGGACACCTTTTTGAGAAGCCTCTAGAAGATGTCCCCTTATTCTCTCTCCTTGGCCGTGTCTTCATCTATTTCTCTTCTGCAATAAAAATATATTAGACTGAATGTCTTAGTCTGTTCCATTTGCTATAACAAAATACCTGGGGCTGAGTACTTTATACAGAAAAGAGGCTTATTTAGCTTGTTGTTTGGAGGTCTCAGAGCACAGCACCAACATCTGTTCAGTGCTGGTGGGGCTACTGACTGCCGCACCACATGGCAAATGGCATCACAGGAAAGGTCGCCTGTTGAGACAGGAGCCAGCTCAGTCTCTGTAGAGCACAGAGTAGGTCACAACCGAGCCAAATCCTGACCTCTGCGAAGCTGGGGGTGGAGGGAACAGGGGAGGTAGCCAATAGCATCTGCCATGACGTGATTTAAGAAATACTCTTTTTAGCCCAGCTACCCACAAAGCTAATATTTTTGTCTTTCAGCATTTGCATCCCCTAGAAACTGGAGATAGTATTTACCCAGGATTTGGCTGCTGCAGCATGCATTAGACATGTTTTTGAACCTAAACAAACAGGCTGAGGGCAGGATGGAGGTGGAGGTCAGTGGTAGAGAGGTTGCCTGGCATGCCCGGGGCCCTGGGATCAATCCCCACAGATCAGGGGGAAAGTGCTACAGGAAGGCTG